GTACTTTTTTTGGTAAAATTCTAAATAAAATAGTTTGGCCCGATTTTATTGTTTGAAAACTTTAAAATAAAAAAGTTCTGGGCGAGTGATTAGAAACTATTTTAACTTTTCGTTTTTAGCCATTTAGCTCCATTCAACCCCATTCACTGAGGACTCGCTCGTCGGCGCCCTCTGCTGTTTTGCAGTCCTGTTTTTGATATAACGGAGGAAACAGGAAGTGGCCAGGCTCCTCATAAACTTGCTCTGGTGCAATGTCAAGGTCACGTATTACGAAAGAGGGGCCAGGGTACTGCATCAAAAAGAAGACGCCAAGTGACCTTCATGGTGCAACCAGAGAACTTGTAGAGGGGAGAATTAACACTCTAATGTCTTCAGGTTTTCTAAAACATTAGAGGGCGCTCCTGAGCGAGTGCAAAATGAACAGGTTAATATGGAGCATTTGAGTAACATCATAGTTCATAAATGCTCAAACATTTAATGTAAAAGAATACATTAATTTCCTGAACACAGAACAGCACAAAACCTTTTAACACCGCTGTAATATTTTTAAGAGCTTTTGAACTCGAAACTCGACTTTAAAAAGGCGCCTCATGTACGTTCATGACGTTCATTGAGCACGAACAGCCAATGAGCTGCTCCGCTCACCAATCAATCAGCACTCAGTAGCAGTAATGCTAACCAATCAGCACTCAGTAACAGTAATGCTAACCAATCAGCACTCAGTAGCAGTAATGTTAGCGTCCTGCTGCCCAAAACCTGTTTGCTGTAGAAAAAGGAAAACTCATCTGTATGTTTCTTTTCTTTTGAAAAGTGAAATACATTCTTCTGCTTTCCAAAATTAAAGCAAACTTCTGTGTAAGTGATTAGAAACTATTTTAACTTTTTGTTTTTAGTCATTTAGCTCCAGTCACCCCCATTCACTGAGGACTTGCTCATCGGCGCCCTCTGTTATTTTGCAGTCCTGTTTTTTGATATAACGGGGGAAACAGGAAGTGGCCAGGCTCCTCATAAACTTGCTCTGGTGCAATGTCAAGGTCACAAATTGAGAAAATGTGTGATGTTTGAGTTTACCATGTCAGGTGGTCTGACCTCAGGAGAAACATGAAAATATGGAATAATTATAATAATGTTTATTTATTGAAAGAAATTAAGTATTCAAAGCCAAAGGTTTCTACGGGTGTCTAAGTAGATGCCTGTTTAAGCTGAAATTAGTCTGAAAAGTCAGTCAGATGGAGCAACCCGACCAGCACAGTTTAAAAACTGAAACAGGCAAATAAAAGCTTTGATAACTCTCACTATGTTTAAGATACGAAATGCTCTAAATGATTTAAACGCAAACATGTATGCAGATACTAAAATGCATATCAGTAACTCATTTTAATGACTTTTTAAAAACCTGTCACAGTCCTGAGTACAGTGTGATGATTGAGACATGCAGTTAGCATCGTGCTAATTGGTGGGTATAAGCTTTTACTACTTGTTAGCTACATTACAAGCTAAAGAAGACAACTTTAGAAACCAAACATGCCTGATCGACTGGGCTGTGAGTAAAAGGGGGGAGGGGTGAACTATCGCTTTAAAACGATATTCCTGAATTTTCTCTCTTTCCATCCTCCTCTCTCTCCAATCATACACCATATCATTACTGCCTCACCACACACACACACACACACTGATGTCAAGTGCAGTGTGTGTGTGTGTTCTGAAGGTCTTTATTCTGTACAAACGTTACTGTAATAAAACCCTCAACAGCCAACCACAATCTACTACACCTCCGAGAGAGAGAGAGGGGGGGGGTGAAGAAAAAGAGAAGAAAGAGAAAGGGAAAAGAGAAAGGGAGAGAGAGAAAGAAAGACATGAAGAGAAAGACAGAAAAGAAAAAGAGATACTAAAAAAGAAAGACTGAAGAAGAGAGAGGTGAAGAAAGAGAAAGGGAGAGAGAGGGAGGGGAGGAAAGAGAAAGAAATGCAAAATAGAGAAACAGAGAAAAAGAGACAAAAGAGAGAGAGAGAAGCAGAGAGGTAAAGAGAAAGAGGAAAGAGAAAGGAGACAGAGACACAAGTGAAGAGAGAGAGAGAAAGAGAAAGAGAGAGAGAGAGAGAGAGAGAAAGAGAGAAAGAAAGAGAGAGAGAACGAGAGTAAATTGATTCTGTAGTTGCAGATTTTTTTCCCTTTTTTCCAAGAAACACAAACCCAGACCGTAATGTTCAGCTTGTCGTTTCCTGTGTAGAGTCCTTCCTCTCTTTCTTCTCCTCTCTCCATGGTTTTGTGTGTGTGTGTGTGTGTTAGATACACTCTGTTCTCACTACAGCATTAAACATACCTACAGTTTCTCATTAGGTTGAATGAATAACTGGTTCTAAATGTAGGTATTGTGATATAAACTGAGTCTGTTCTACGGTTTCTCATTAGGTTGAATGAATAACTGACTCTAAATGTAGGTATTGTGATATAAACCGAGTCTGTTCTACGGTTTCTCATTAGGTTGAATGAATAACTGACTCTAAATGTAGGTATTGTGATATAAACCGAGTCTGTTCTACGGTTTCTCATTAGGTTGAATGAATAACTGACTCTAAATGTAGGTATTGTGATATAAACCGAGTCTGTTCTACGGTTTCTCATTAGGTTGAATGAATAACTGACTCTAAATGTAGGTATTGTGATATAAACCGAGTCTGTTCTACGGTTTCTCATTAGGTTGAATGAATAACTGACTCTAAATGTAGGTATTGTGATATAAACCGAGTCTGTTCTACGGTTTCTCATTAGGTTGAATGAATAACTGACTCTAAATGTAGGTATTGTGATATAAACCGAGTCTGTTCTACGGTTTCTCATTAGGTTGAATGAATAACTGACTCTAAATGTAGGTATTGTGATATAAACCGAGTCTGTTCTACGGTTTCTCATTAGGTTGAATGAATAACTGACTCTAAATGTAGGTATTGTGATATAAACCGAGTCTGTTCTACAGTTTCTCATTAGGCTGAATGAATAACTGACTCTAAATGTAGGTATTGCGATATAAACTGAGTCTGTTCTACAGTTTCTCATTAGGTTGAGTGAATAACTGACTCTAAATGTAGGTATTGTGATATAAACTGAGTCTGTTCTACAGTTTCTCATTAGGTTGAATGAATAACTGACTCTAAATGTAGGTATTGTGATATAAACTGAGTCTGTTCTACAGTTTCTCATTAGGTTGAATGAATAACTGACTCTAAATGTAGGTATTGTGATATAAACTGAGTCTGTTCTGCAGTTTCTCATTAAGCTGAATGGTATTGTTAGCAGTGTTCTGTAAAGCTTGGCCAACTTCACAACAGCAGCTATAAAGGAACACACTTGTGGGCGGAGTCTGTAGCAGTAGTTACTGTATAGTAGTTACAGAATAATAAGCACTGAGGTGAATGTGTGAATAAGGGCTTTGGGTTTTACCTGCAGTTCAGCAAAGTCTGCTCACCTGTGTGTGTGTGTGTGTGTGTGTGTGTGTGTGTGTGTCTCCTGTGGTTACAGACTGCGGTGTGTAAACAGGTGTGCAGTAATAATGACGTAACGCTGAGAGGTCAGTGATAAGATTCATCATCACTCAGACAAAGAGTGACAGATTACTGTTGGTAGTAAAGTAAAACTTCACTGCTGATCATCACCACGGCAACACTCGACCCACATAGACAGGAATTTAACCCGAGAGAGAGAGACAGAGACAGAGACAGAGACCGAGAGAGAGAGAGAGAGAGAGAGAGAGAGAGAGAGAGAGAGAGAGAGAGAGAGAGAGAGAGAGAGAGAGACAGACAGGGAGAGAGAGATTGAGCAGAAAGAATGAAGAAGAGAGAGAGAGAGAGATAGACAGAAAGAAGAGGAAGAGGGAGAGTGAGAGAGAGAAAGAAAGAGATAGACCTTCCTTGCTTTTCTTTCATTAATGAAATCATTTATGAATGAAGCTTTCATCTATTAAAACATCCATCCATCAGGCTGTCACTCTGTCTGTTTGTCCATCAGTCTAACCCATCAATCCTTTCATCAACCAATTTATCCTTCAAACAATTCATCACTCCATCTAGCAGTCACTCTATCCATTCATCAAATCATCAACACATCCATGCATCCCCCATCCTCCCATCCATTCATCCATCCATCCATCCTCCCTCCATCCATCCATCCATCCATGCATCCTCCCATCCATTCATCCATGCATCCTCCCATCCATCCATCCATGCGTCCTCCCATCCATTCATCCATGCGTCCTCCCATCCATTCATCCATGCATCCTCCCATCCATCCATTCATGCATCCTCCCATTCATTCATCCATGCGTCCATCCATCCTCGCATCCTCCCATCCATTCATCCATCCATCCTCGCATCCTCCCATCCATTCATCCATGCGTCCTCCCATCCATTCATCCATGCGTCCTCCCATCCATTCATCCATCCGTCCTCCCATCCATCCATCCATGCATCCTCCCATCCATCCATCCATGCGTCCTCCCATCCATTCATCCATGCATACGGCCATTCATTCATCCATGCATCCTCCCATCCATCCATCCATCCTCGCATCCTCCCATCCTGCATCCATCCATCCTCTCATCCATCCCTCAATCAATCCATCCTCGCATCCTCCCATCCTGCCATCCATCCATCCTCTCATCCATCCCTCAATCCATCCATCCAACCATCAAGTCAAATCCATCAGTCTTTCCTCTAATTAAATCAACCACCAAAGCATTTATACAACTGTATGTACTGTTTCTGTAGCCCCACAGTAGGTGAACCGTAGGTGTGAGGAGCAGTGGGCGTGTGTGAGGAGCTATAGGCGCGTGTTAGGGTCTACAGAAACATAACATACAGCAGTAAAAAGATGGATTGATAGTAGATTTGATTAATGAAGCGTCCTCAGACCCACTCAACACACCTATGGCTCCTCACACTTACAAACACACTCTGTGTTGGGGGAGTGAGCGCTTACATATGAAACGAAGCTGAAACACTTACTGTGAAAGGATGCATTCTCTCAGAGAAGATCATTTATCTTTAATTTATCCCTCCGTCAGCGCTGATCCCTCCATCCTGAGCAGAAACAGAGAGAGAGAAATGTTTAATTCATCTGATGATTCTTTCCAGAGCCCTACAGAATAAACATCCTTAAGAGTCACATTTAGTCACGCACACACTTCTGACCACAGAATTCCCTGCTCCGTCTGGGAATCCCTTGTTCCGTCAGAGAGCGTCTGAGGTGAAGCTCTGAATCTCCTCAGTGTCTCAGATCAGTGCCTCAGTTTCCGGCACTTAGCTCTAATATAACAACAGTTCCCTTAAAAATCACATTTACACAGCTCGATCAGAACGGCCAGACTAAACACACAAACGGCCAGATTAAAGTCACAGACCCTCAGACAGCCAGGTTAAAGTCACAGACCCACAGACACGCGTGTGAGAAGATGACTTTAATCAGGCAAGATTAAAGTCACAGGATGGCTGGATTAAAGTCACAGACCCACAGACAGCCATGTTAAAGACCACAGATGACCAGATGAAAGTCACAGACAGCTGGATTAAAGTCACAGACCCATCAGACGGCCAGGTTAAAATAAAAAACCTACAGACAGCCAGATTAACGTCACAGACCCATCAGACTACCAGAATAAAGTCACAGTCCCCCAGACAGACAGATTAAAGTCACAGACGGCCAGATTAAAGTCACAGATCCGTAGACAGCCAGATTTCGGTCACAGATGGCCAGGTTTAAATCACTGACCAACAGATAGCCAGGTTAAAGTTACAGACACACAGATGACCAGATTAAAATCACAGACATGTCAGACGACCAGATAAAAATCAAAGACCCGTCAGACGACCAGAATAAAGTCACAGACCCACAGACAGCCAGGTTAAAGTCAGAGATGGCCAGATTAAAGTAACAGACCAACAGACAGCCAGGTTAAAGTCACAGACCCATTGACGGCCACATTAAAGTCACAGACAACCAAATTAAAGTCAAAGACAGATGGATTAAAGTCACAGAGAGCCAGATTAAAGTCAGAGATGGCCAGATTAAAGTAAAAGACCAACAGACAGCCAGGTTAAAGTCACAGACCCACAGAGGGGCAGATTAAAGTCACAGACCCACAGAGGGGCAGATTAAAGTCATAGATGGCCAGATTAATCCCACAGATTGTGGATGAAAATTAAAGACCAAAAGATGATGAGATCAAAATCACAGACAGACAGATTAAAGGCACAAATGGCCAGATTAACCCTACAGATGGCCAGAATAAACACACAGGTGTACAGACGGCTACACTAAACACACCAACAGACCGATAAAACCCACACACAGTCATATTAATCCTATTAATCCTACAGATTTATTCTAATTAAAACCTGACCAAAATAAACAATTAATGAAATAGGTAAAAAAATAAATAAATAAACAATAATACTGAAAGTAAAGACAGTGGTTGTTGGAGTGTACTGAGTTGTTGTTATTGTTGTTGTTGAATTTCTGCCTTGTGCTCAGATTTGGGAGAGACAGGACTTGCAGGATTGCTGAATAATACCGACTCGTTCACAAACTCCAGAAAAACCTGTTCTACAGTGTTATTTTACAGAGACAATCGAACTACAGCAGCTCAACATCTCTCTCTCTCTCACTCACACTCACACACGCACACACACACACACACACACACAGAGTACATGAGGACACTGAGCTCTTCATAACTTTGTTAACTTCTCTGTTTTCTTATTAGTTTACACTAAATGACCATAATCAATAGAAGACTATTTAGATCTTTCCATTTTTCTTTACAAGAAAAAAGCAAAACTACAAATGCATTATGAAAATCTGCTTTGTGACACCAACACTGCAACACATGAACATGACTGAACTGTCAGACATGTTGGTGATTTGAATTCTTACACTAATGAGATTGCTGTGTAAACGCGGCTGTTTAGCTGAGCTGGTTGAACACCTACAAAAAGACGCCTGTATGATACAGTAAACATTTTAGAGCATCCTCAGACCACAGAGTCAGGATTCACATGTCTGACCTGACAGAAAGATTCGGGTCTCGAGAGAAACATGGCCAGCTCTCATACAAACAGACTAAGCTAAGCAGCTAAGCATTGAACGATAACGTTTCTAGACCACAAGAGTTTCAATATGAGCCTTTAACAACGAGTGAAAAACATTACTTAGGCACAACGTACATAGGCGCAATGTCCCCAAACTTCTGACAGACGGTGTACTCTCTCTCTCTCTCACACACTTGATACACACATTTGATAGTGATTAGAACAGACAGCAGGAATTCAGTGAAGAGCGTCATCAAATAGCTGGTAAAGTCCCAGAACAGGCTGAGGCGTGATTAAAGAGGTGATTAAAGCCCTGGAACACGCAGAGGAACACGCAGAGGAACACGCAGAGGAACACGCAGAGGAACATGTTGATCCTGACTGATGGGAAACACGCTGGACTGTCCAGCTAAAGAACATCAATTCTGCTCAAATCACCATCAGTCAGTCCGAGAAGCTTCATTTAAAACACACATGCACACAGCAGAGCACACAAGCACTCATTCAGCACACACATTTACATGGTTGTGTGTTTACAGACTTTATTACAGAAGGAGCAGTAAAATCAGCAGCTTTCAGCTCTGGACAAGAAAACGGACACAAACATTCCTCATAGATTATTAATAGCAGCTATTAATAACTCATACTTAACATCTGTTTAACTGGAAATTAATTCAAAGTTTGTGTGTGTGTGTGTGTGTGTGTGTGTGCGCGCATGTGCATATACACAGAGAAAAAGAAAGAGAGAGTGTGTGAGAGAGAATGAGAAAGATAGGAAAAATAAAAATAGAAAAAGAAAAAGACACAAAAATGGGAAAGAGAAAAAGAGAAAAAAAAAAAACAAAGAAAGAGAGAGAAGCAGAAAGAAAGATGAAAACCAGAAAAATGAAAGAGAGAAAGAGAGAGAGACAGAGAGAGAGACAGAGAGAGAGCGTGTGTGTGAGAAAGAGAAACAAAGAATGAGAGAGAGAGAGAGAGAGAGAGAGAGAGAGAGAGAGAGAGAGAGAGAGAGAGAGAGAGAGAGATCTGTATTTAGTCCTTATAAGGCGAGAGAGTGAGGCTGGTCTGGTTGGTGTGAGGAGCTGGCAGGTTCACTCTGTGTTTCTATGAAGGCTGTAAAACGTGAGGTGCACAGCGCGGCCCATTTTTTTTGGGGAGTTCAAACTGCACCTGGCTGCGCTGCTCCTAAGCAACAATAGCATTGTGATGGTCAATCTGCTGTGCTGGCTGGCTGGCATTACGATGTAACAGAAAGTTGTCGCTCGCCATTTTACAAAGAAAAACAAACTAAAAAGTTGCTTTTTGTTTTGATCCATGAAATTTTACAGCTCAGGATAACTCAGCGAGTAACCGTCACTGAAGGTCTGCCTTCCTTTAGATTCTGACTGGTATGAGAAACTGTAGAACAGACTCAGTTTATATCACGATGCCTATATTTAGAGCCAGTAATTCATATCAAATTATACTTATGTTGGATGTCTGTGAAAGCCTAGGGGTACAAAAGGTATGGATGTATTATACGAACATTACAGAGTGCCTTTTAAATGAAACAACAGAAGCCATATCGCCCCCTACACTTCCTGTAGTGTATTACAGTCTGTCAAAATTTGAACCATATGGACATTATGGTGCACTACAGGACCTTAGTCATCCAACACTCTGTTCCCTTTGCCATGTGGAGAGTTTATCTGTCAATCAGTAATGTCCTGTCTCAACAGGACAGTGATTGGCTGAATGTTATTCAGGGCGGCGGTGAGCAGAATAATGTGGGAAACTGAGCTGAGGAAGCCCCTTTTGTTTGGGTGGCACTGCTGGTGTTGGTTTGTGTTGCTGTGCCCTCAGGCTGTACTGAGGAAGTGGATTAATAAAAGCCAGTTTGCTGATGTTGATTCAGGTGCAGAGCCACATTCACTTACTCACACACAGTCTCTCTCTCTCTCTCTCTCTCTCTCTCTCTCTCTGCTGATGAAAGCCAGATCTCTGTAATACAGACCTACTGACACAGACACTCTTCTCCAACAGACAACTTACAACCCAAAAACAGAGACCATTTCTGTGGCTCTGAAATGTTCATATGATCCACACAGTAATACACAACAGGAAGTTTAGGGGGCGATATGACTTCCATTGTTTCATTTAAAAGCGCTCTATAATGGTCATATGTACATATGTGTGTTTACTGCTGAAAATTTCAGTCAATCAGCTCAATTTTAAATGTCCACTATAATTTAGCATGTTAATATGAGCTAGCGTAATGACTGATGACCAGCTAGGCAGCCTGCTAATGTCAGTCTTTCACTGCGAGCTAGCTAAATATAAAGGTATCTATTACAAAAGTAACGACACTGAACATTTTTAACAGTCTAGATCACATCATGAAAGATCCCGTTTACACCTGGTCACTTCATGCGCCCTGAGTATCTCGATTATATCTGGATGGTAGTGTAAGTGTAGTGTTAGTGTAAAACAGATACAAATCCCTCACTCAAATCCCTTCAGGAGGTGAGCTGAGACACATTTAAGCCACACTATAGCAGCGTAAACACATCTGTCTCTCCAAGACACATTTGGCAACCAAAACCCTCCTAGTACAACCGACACCCCTCCCAGTACAACCAAAACACCTCCCAATAGAACCAAAACTCCTTCCAGTACATCCTAAACTTCTCCCAGTACAACCAAACCCCTTCCCAATACAACTGAAACCCCTCCCAGTACAACTAAAATACATCCCAATACAACTGAAGCTCCTTCCAGTACAACCGAAACTCTTTTAGACAAATTCAGTGATGTTTTTTCTCTCTCACTTCTGGATCTCTTGGTGTTTCTCTGTTGTCGATGATTCTCACATGATTCACAGATGACCTCACCAACATTCTCTACCTTCAACTGGCCATAAGATCCAACTCTGGAGGACAGCAGATCTCCAGGAGGAGGTGTTTAACTGTTTGCTCCAGTCACTGTCTGCAGGGCTCAAACACGGTGGTCACCAC